TGGGTTGATCTAAGTCAGGGCATGGATAACTCACAGATTGATCCCTGAAACAACCTCTGGGTTGATCTAAGTCAGGGCATGGATAACTCACAGATCGAACCCTGAAACAACCTCTCGACTGATCAAAGTCAGGGCAGGGCTAACTCACAGTAATTCTAAAAAAACCTCTGGGCTGATGAAAAGTCACTGATTGAACCCTGAAACAACCAGCTATGGGTTGTTCAAAGTCAGGGCACAGCTAACTTACAGATCGAATTGAAATTTCATAGCATGTATTTTTCAGAGACACCCTAAACAGACCCAAAAAAATTGAATTCCAGTCAGAAACGCAATGCAAGTCCTTGCAAAGCCTTGTGTAATCAACAAATATCAAAATTGAATATCACTGAGAGATTGACATCTAGCTGTCTTTGGACTATTTTAAATATTATCATTTCTACCTTTTTGATGTTAAAATCCAGCACTTCTTTAAAAAAGGATGGAAGACACGCCAGAAAGACATACCACCCCCAGCCATATGAGAATCCAAGTGCTGCTATCGCCCAAACTGGTGCTGAGGTCAAGATGGACTTCCAGGGGGTCGGCATTGGTTTTCTCTGTGTATAATTTAAATAGTGGAGTTGACATTGAATATAATTGAATTAATATATAGTCTATAATAATGGCAGAGTATAAGTAATAGTGTCTTCTTCAGTCTATGAAAAACACATTGAACTTTATCTCCAGCTAGCCAGAAATTCTTTTAGTGATCCTAAATCAAAGTAGTAGGTAGTTTTAAGCAATGCAAGCAGTCCTTGGCTGACATTCATTATGAATTATTTATAAACATACTAGTAGTATTTCAGCTTCTGCTTTCTTTTGTTTCCTTAATGTTGCCTCTCATATCCTTTCCTTCCCTTCCCTTTCCTTTTGTTTCATTTCACCTCCTTTTCTTCGAAGTCATATTGATTTTACGGTACTATAGAAGTTATTTACCATGGTTACTATGTCTTGTGATCTACCAATCCCCTTCAGTATGTGCTGTTTTTCCCAAGGTGCTATTCTTGGGTGTTGAGAAGGACTTTCATAGATTAAAATCATCCAGACAATAAACCACAAAATACCTAGACCACCTGTGCAGAAAATAAAGTATTTTTAGCCTGGAAATGTCACGCACACCCAACATATATAAATCATATACATTATTATTATGATATATATAGTTGACTATAAACAATCCATCTTTAGTTTGCAGCCCCATCCCCTCCTCTGCCACTTGAAATATTTGTCTTTGACTTAGAATTTTACAGACGTTTCAATCAGTGAACCATGGATCTGCTTCAGTGTGTCGTTGGTATTTGGGCACACCTATTTAAATGTTGGTATCAGCATGCACTAGAGTCAATAATAATAATTTCTTTCTTTCGACAGTAAACCTATGTCAGATTAGTGATTTACAATAGGGAACTGCATTAAGAACTATACAAGTAAAATCAAAAACGATATGTAAAAAAGAAAATAAAGAAAAAAATATATAAATAAATAAATAAACAAATAAAAGTAAATAAATATAAATAAATAAATAAAAAGTAAAAATAAAAGTATATGTAAATATGTATATATATATAATTATAACCTAAATATTAGCTTCTAATTAAAAAAAGAACATTTTAGTGCTCTTTTAAATTTTCTTAAAGACGAAAGTAATTTAATGTCATTAGGTAAAGAGTTCCAACTTTGAACGCATGAGTCCTGCATGAGAGTTCTAGATACATTTCTGGAAGTTTGATACAGCCTTTCTTTCACTTAGGATATTTGATGGAGTCCCAAGCTTCTAAATATAATAAATATTATTTAATATTATGGTTAATATCATTTATCAAAACATATTAGAATTACCAAAAACGTAAAATGCCAGAGGCCAACCACCATCAAATTCAAGTGAACTAAGCCATCCACTGACACCCAGGGAAAAAATAGCACCAAAATCACCACCTGGAAGAAAGGAAATACAAGAATCAGATACTACAGATGTCAGCAAACTGTCGAACCAAGCCAAAAAAACATGCCACGGTCACGTCTCCAAACGCCTATGATTCCACACACTTGTTGCGAATGCCCACTGATTGGCTGTAATTCGCTAAAGATCATGGATAAACTTGCGTTTATTCTTTTCACCACTGAAAGTTTACAAATCAACTTGTTACTCTTGCTTCCTCTCGCACTCTCTTCACATTCCTCACTTGCAAATGTTCAACTCAATTTGCATATATGAAAATGTCGTTTTGTCACTTCCATCTCACAAACATCAAACTTTTAGTCTTGCATTCCCTTCTTCGTGTTTTGGCATCGCTTATGTATAATCCTCCCCACCTCCTTCAGATAATGCCTGAACCTTACCTGAGAATGAGAATACGATATAAGTACTTCGCTCAAGGGGAGTAGCCCATCTACTCCACAGAGTTGTAGCTGCTGGATACGTAATTCCCTGTAACGGCAGATAATATGATTGTCAGTGGATTTAGTTAGTTTTGTGTTATCAGATTAAAGCCTTGGTTACATATTAAGTATAGATTGGATCACAGGCAAACGGTTTACAGTCATTTCGCCCACGGACCATTTCGCCCACGCCAATTCGCCCACGCATAAAATCATCGATCATGCGTTTGCCAATTCGCTCACGCCAATTCGCCCACGTGTAGAATCACTTTAAGAAATATGTTACCATGACTAAAAAAAAAGTAGTTCGTGATTTACCAACCTTACTTGACGCTTAAGCTCAAGACTTCAAAACGCGAACTTTTTATACGCCATAACGGACTCGCCTACGCTAACTCGCTAACGAACGAAACAACTTATAAACCAATGTAAATGTCACTTTAGCCTTTTTAAACCTCAAGATGAATTACTTCTAGACTTTTTTATCGTTATTTGGCTTACTTGACATAAATACTTCTTAGAACACAAAGTTTTATCCGTCGAAGGACGCCTGACGCCATAGCTTTATAGTATTATRTGCGGTTTAATCGGTTTCTAAATTTTACAGCATCTTGAATCGGTTTTTAAACTTTATGTCAAACTTTTTAACCAAACTGTCTTCTTATTTGAGTAGCCATGGTACGAAAAACAGGAAATTCGGTCTTCACTTCTCRGGCAAATTATTTCAGCGTCTCGAATTCACTGAGTCGTAACAGAGGATGCTGTAAAAACAGCTGTAGGAGATTTCGATAGAAAAGAAAGACAGGTTAATCAGATCCTGCTTGACGGACTTAAACTCGGTTGTTTCATTTATTTACAATTTACTAGTCTTTATGTTCAATAAATGAATCAGTCAATAAGCTTGAACGTGTTGTTAAGAAGTCAGAAACAAAGCGTGGGCGAGTTTGCTTCTGACTTGCCAAGGTTCGAGCTAGAAAAGCCAAAATACCTTATACCGATCGACAAGCGACGCCATATTGTTTTCGTGTAATCAACAAGCTTCCTAGTCGTTTACTGACGCTTTCTTTACCTAGAATCCATTAGACTTTATTCTTTGCACTAATAAAGTTAAAGGAAAAGATATGGTGCTTTGAGATGGGAGATGTCGTGTGTTGCTGAATCTGACATCTACAAAAAATATGATTTTAGACAAGCTCACGAAAACAATATGGCGTCGTTTGTCGATCGATGTTTCGCGGAAGGTATTTTGGTTTTTCTCGCTCTAACCTTGGCAAGTCAGAAGCAATAATATTAAATATGTCCTAAACATTCCATTTTTCGATGAAGAAGAAGGATATTTTAATGTTTTCAACAAACTACTCTACGGAGACTAAAAACTTATTGGTAGCGAAAAGACTCGTATGAAACACCGTAAACTGAGCTCGATCGTTCCACTCAATCGTTAACTTTTTGGCGTTTACATCAGATATTAAATGGCCTCAAATTTATTCCAGATAAAGTCGCTAGATCATTTCGTCTTAGGTTTTTAGTGCAAATAATAAAGTCTAATGGATTTCAAGAAAAGAAAGTGTCAGTAAACGACTA